GTAACATCCAGATCCGCCCATATACAATTCGGGCTTGGGTCGGCCCGCCCATTTGGATATTTAAGGTTGTCCATATCCGCCCTTTTTAAAGGGCAGGCTGGGCGGGCCGAACGGGCCAACCCTTGTTTGCACAGGTCTAGTTATGACATATACTACAATGGAAATAATTAAATCTGTTCATATTCCCTCTGTTCTTATTCAGATCGTGACAAAGTGAAATGATTGGGAGAACATGAAGGGTAAGATGAGGGCACACTTTCTTCCCTTCGGATACACACAAACCCTATTTCAACGACTCCATACGTTGAGGCAGGGAACGAGGTCCGTTGATGATTACACAGAAGAATTCTACCAGTTGATTGCCTGCAACGATCTGTCTGAATTGGAGGAGCAGCTTGTGGCCCGATATATGGCAGGCTTGTGTCAGTCCTTGCAGAGCCTCCATTCATTATGGACTGTTTCTGAGGCATACAAAACGGGCCTAAGAATAAAAATAAATAGGCTAACTAAAAGATAGGCCAAAGGCCCAAAGACACAAAAATTGAAAAATGAAGGCCTTAACAAGGAGTTCACGTCAATCTGGATCCTCTCCTGCATCAGCTACCATGAAGTGAATGAAGAAATGTTTCGATGTAAGATCGATGATGACAAGCTACTGTACAATCAATTGACAGTACTTCTTCGTAAATGATGACAAATTTCCTATCCTTAAAATCTTGAACCGAGGAAATTAAAGTCATTTGATGATACTTATGCATCATTGCTGAACAATGTAAACAATGTGAAGATGTGTTGGATGACTTAAAGGACTACGCTATGATTAATGGATTAAAACAAACTCTAAATCCCCAACAATACCTATCGGGAATGTGATTATTTGAAACTGCAAATGCTACTGAAAGACCTTCAATCAAAGGAGGAATATCGTTAATCAATGATTGTGTAATTGGGAATTGTGTTATGTCCAGTATGTCAAGTTTACAACCCTATACACGGGAACCTTAGTTGTTGATACTGAAGAATCATTGAAAACCTTGCTTAATCAAATATTGTTAATATCTTGAAGAAAAAAACAAGAATAATGTTAACATCGATAGTTTGAGAATACATATCCATGTGGATAAAAACGTAAGTATGATTTAACCAAATGAACATGACATGGTCATGATTAAGTGTGATCACAACAAAATGTTGAACGTTAAACCTTGGAAAATAATTTATGTTACTAGTTATGATATAATATATGAAATTATTATGTTATAGAAAAAAATTAGTAAACAATAAATATGATAAAGTCACTTACCATTTCTACACTAATATTTTCTAATTATGGAGTATAATTTTCACCGCCTTCTCTTTTTTATTCGAGAAGTTTTTGTTTCTATTTATTTTTTCATTTCCTTTTCCTATTTTTTATACCTCATATGCTTGAGCATCACGATTAGAAGCTTTTTTTACTTTAGAATAAAGAAATGTCTAATTTGAGACCGATGAAGTACGCGTTATTTTTTCATTTATTTTTTTATTTAAAAAGTTAACATTTTTTAATTTTTAAAGCATAATAGAAAAATATATAGTTTAAATATTTTTTTGAAAAGAAATCAAAGAGAAGAAAAATAAAAAATGAAAAGATGAATGAAAATAGGTTTAGTTGCCCAGTAGTTCGGAAAATGAGCACTCATTCCCCTCGCTATCAAACTTCAATGCACTCTAGGAGCATGAAATACAAATGCCGAAATTTTACTGATGGAGGGAACATAAAAACCCTTTTTTTGAAACCAAGGATATTTTATATGTAAGTTTTAAATGAATTTGAAAAAATGAAAGGCAAAAACAAAAAAGTTAGAAGAAACTAAAACATGTACTTTATAGGTTAAAAAAGAGAAAAAACTCAAAAAAGCTGGAAGTAATGAGAAGAAAGTTGAAAAAACTAGAAAACATGAAGAAACTAGAAAAAACTAGATGAGACTGGAAAATTCAAAAGAAAGAGGAAGAAACTGAAAAGCCTAAAAGAAGTTGAATAAAATTGAAAAGAGTTGAAATTTTTTGGGGAAAAAAATAAAAAATGTTGGAATAAATATTATATTTTTGAAAAAACACTACAAATGAAAAATAAAATCATAATAAATGTTAAATTTATACTTTTGTAAGGATCGCTACATACTTTTGGGTCATTTTTTTATTTTTCATATTGTATAGGTAGTAGTATAATTACGGAGTACTATTTTATAATTTAAAATATTTATGTTTACTCGAATCCATTTTAGATTAATAAAAATATCCACTTTATCTATAATTTTTGGAACATAGACTAGTGCCATGTAGATTATTAAATAAAGTGTATTATGTATATTAAAAAGTGGAAAAAAAAATAATAATTAATGAAAGTGAATTGAGAAAATAATGATATGAGAAAAAAACAGACAAAGTGAAATAATTTATAAACTACGTACATTAATAATAAATAATAACAATAACAATACAAATAATAATATTACTGATCCGATAAAAAAATAATATTAATAACAAAATAAGAAGAAGTTGGAAGAAACTAGAAAAACTAAAAAACTTGAATGAACTGGAAAAATTTCAAACAACTTGAAAAAATTAGGAGAAATCTGAAAAACTACAAGTTAAGAATTTAAGCCTAAAAGAACACACGCAAAAAAGAGACGGCGTTCGAGAAAACAGAAAGAGTTGGATGCCATATTTCGTTGGGGAATAATATTTTTCAAAATTCTTTACGAGAAAATGATTTCCACAAAAAATTATTCCCCCTAATTTGTTTTCTAAACAACCACATATTAGAAAATTATTTTATAAGAAATTGGTATATCTTATATCAAAAGATATAGGCATATTCATAGTTTGTTTTTATACGTGATCTATATCAAATTTACATTAAAGAGTTTCATTTTCTAGCGTTTGGAAGGGGGAGAGGGAGAGATTTTTGCTTTTGTTCACAAAATTGGAGGACTCGAGGAGTGAGTATTAATTTAAATTTTCCTTGTCCTAAGACTATAATTTCTCAAATATAATTCCTTTTCACTTTTTAAACCAGACGTAAAATTTTGGATGGAAACTTTTATTTAAAATAATTTTCTCCCAACCAAATGAGAATTTTGCTTTGTTCGCAAAATTATAAGACTCGAGGGGTGAGTAAATTGAAATTTTCCTTGGTCTAAGACTATAATTTCTTAAAAATAATTCCTTATCACTTTTTGAACCAAATGTAAAAAACTAGGATGAAATTTTTCTTTAAAAAAATATTTTTCTCCCAACCAAATATGTCCTAAGAGATAGAAATTAAGGGGGTAAAGACTTAAAAAATTAAAAAAATTATATAATCAATAAGAATTTGTTTATCTCGTGCGTCGCACGGGTTAAAATAATGCTACTTTCGAAAAAAAGTAAGAAATCTTCACGAATAAAGAGTTAGCCGATCCTAAGAAAAGGTTAAAAAAACTCCACCCATATAGCGCAATATATATTGTACACCCGGTTGTACGGTGTTTCCCGTGTATCCATGATTCCACGGCGAGTGCTCATTTATGTGTAGCGGAATGCTTATTTTCGAGCAAGGAAATAGTCAGTCTCGAGTAACTGAACACTCATTTCTTTAAAATTCAATTATGCTCAAAAAGGAATATTTAGTTCAACAAAAATAAATATTCTGTTAATTGAAAATGAGTACTAAGTTACCTGACAATGAGTATTAATGAATATTTAAGTTTTATATTTAATATAACTAGCTTCATAAAAATTTTAAAATTTCTAAACCAAAAAACATCTCATTTTTTGAATGCTAAGAATTTCCGTTAAAATGTTACTAATTCGACAAATTGCACGAGTTAGGGGTGGGCACGGATCGGGACGTTTCGGGTTTTAGGTTGTCCCACATCTTGTCCCGTTATATACAAATGGTCCGGAACGGTTCGGATTACAACCTTATCCCGGTTTGTCCCATAAAATTCGGGATCGGAATAAAACGGGACGGATTCAAGTCGTCCTATTTTGTCCTAAATCGCAAGTATAAGAAGGGGAGAGGGTGAAATTTCATTTAAAAAAAGAAACATGTAGCCATCCAACAAAAAACAATGAGTGAAATTGGTCCAAATAAATTTCAAGCCTATGAAGTTAACTTAATTAAATAACTAATTAATTAAAGAATGAGTGTATTTGGATTTTGAACTAAAATTAGTATTATTATTTTTTTTTTGAAACAAAAATTTAGTATTATATATTAGTAGAGTATATGAAACGGGACGGATCGGTATAAATTTTAGTTGTTCCGCTTATGTCCCATTTGATATTGGGACGGAACGGGTTCGGGATAAAAAGAATGTGTCCCAATATATCGGTACAATTACAAAACAGATCCGGGATTTTTTGGAACGGTCCAACGGGAACAGATTTCACGCTCACCCCTAGCACGAGTAACGAACCTCCTTTAATTTCCTTTGGCAAAGCGAATTGGAGTCCCTTAGAAAAATTCTAGAGGTACATCCAAAAGTGTATCCAAATGAACACCATTCCATCTCCATCACACAATTTTAAGTGTGGAAAAAAATTTAAAAAAATAAATAAAAAATCAACAGTTATGATCAATGGTGTACAAATAGAATACACCATTTGATGTACCCCTAGTATCACTCTTCCCTTAAAGAGGAAGGCAAATCTACCACTGATTTGGACCATGCTACACTTACACCAAAAAATATATCCCATTTGTACACCACAGGTTTGCACAAACATTTTGATGGTTTACACCGACACAAGTGTTGGTGCGTTACTAAAAATTCACACGGACACAAATGTTGGTGCGTTTAAGAAAAATTAGTTTTACACCAACACAAAGTGTTGGTGCAAAACTGCGGGGTATAAATTGGGGTACAAACTTTGGGATACACATAGCATAATCCCACTGATTTACAATGAAAACCCAATTTACATTTTATCAATAACAGTCTCACCAAATTTCAATAACCGTGAATCTGAAGAAGTGCAAAACTTATTTCTTTTTTAAAAGGTGAAATAATTTGGGGGTAAAAGGGAGGGAGTAGTCTGCACGCAATGTCAAATCTGCAAAAGGACATAGATACATATATTTCGATCACACACAGTGTACGAATATGCACGCAGAAGAAAGCTAACGTAATAGGCTACGGAGTAGGGAGTACTACTAATAATGTCTCGGATAATCGGTTGAATTGAAAACTGAAATTTAAAGATAACAATCCAAAAGGGAGACAGGTTAAAGTTCAACATTAATTATTATAATCAATTATTAATTAATTAAACTTACACAATGATCGAGCTAGAGCTGAAATCAATAGGTCCACATGCAGTCGAGTTCGGAGTTGCCACCCTTCTGGGGTTCGGCTACGGGGGGCCAGATGGCGTAGCCGCCCATCTGGTCGGCGAGACCACCGTGAAGCGGCGGAGCACCGGGGATGAAGAACGGGAGCTGCAAATTCTCGTGGAGGGACCTCAAGCTGGGGAATGCCGACGGCGAGATTATTTCACCGTTGTTGTTGTTGGTCCTCGGAATAGCTGCAAAGCGGGACAAGGACGATGGGACCAGCGGCAGGTCAAGGAGGGAGGTGAATTTTGACCCGAGCGGCGGCAGCGCAGCCGGGAGGTCAAGGGAATTGGAGAAACAGGGCACGTGCTCCTTGGCGACGACAGGGTCTTCGTCGTAGGAGCAGCTCTCGGCTGTCGGAGCTGACGTGGCAGTGTTGTTGTGGTTGTTGTTGTAGGATGAAGAGTCAACCAGCGGCGGCAGAGAGACGGAGGACGGCGAGCTCACATCCGGGTAGAGGTTGATGACATCGGCCGTTAGTCTTCTCTTCCCCGCCGCCGTCGCCGACGCCGGGGCGGCGCCACTCTTCTGAAATACCCTCGATATAACCCACTCGTCCTGCACCGTTACCCGGCCAATAAATTAAAAATACAATTTCGACCATCATCGAAGAAAGAAAGGAAACAAAATATAGCTAGAGTTCGTGAAACGACGACGTACGGCATACGATGCATACCTTAGATGCTCTAGAGAAGTAATGGTAGGCAAACTTCCCGTCAAGACGGTACTCGTGCATGACCCAGTTAGTCTTTTCACCCTTGGGAGCCCTACCCCGGTAGAAAACCAGGGTTTTCTTCATCCCCACCAGAGCGCAGGTTTTGGAGCTGTAAATCTCTCGGTCTTTTCCCGTAGCCTTCCAGTATCCGGCCTCAGTCGCCCGGTTTGTCCTCAGCCCCGTCGGGTACTTGCGGTCGCGCAGACTGAAGAAGTACCACTCTTTCTCTCCCATCATCGCTTTCTCTAAATATATGCACCATTTAAAAAACAATTCATAATCAAATATAATTAGTCCCCGAGTTATTGATTTAACCTATATCTATGTCTGGCTAGCTGTTGCTGTTGAATTCGATATACATATACTACATATACCAGGAAGCTCCCAGGGCTCGCATTTGTTGAGGTCGACTTCCGCAATGGCACGAGCGGCGAAGGAGCTGTCGACGACCTTCTTGAGAAGGTAGTAGGTGATGAGCTCTTCGTCGGTGGGGTGGAAGCGGAATCCAGGTGGAAGATTGGCTTCCCAGCCACAGCCGCCGCCGCAGGAGTCCAGACACTCGTATCCACCGCCACCGCCACCGCCACCCAGCAGCTGGTGGAAGCTCTCCATCGATATCGATCTAGCTTGATTATTAGACTGCAGTTAATTAATTATTTGTTAATTGAAGCTAACTTAGCTACAGCTATATAGCTAGTTTGGGACTGAAGTTGGAAGGAAGTGACAAGGTATACTTATTTATAGAGTGCGTACATCCATATAATGCAACCTAACGCAATAAATAAAGGGTGGGTCGAGGGAGCGGTAGAAAATCCAAGAGGTACACACCAAAATCAAATCTTTGAGGACAGAAGGCCAGTGTATGGAAAGCTACCTAAAACAGCAGAAGTGCAGATATCACATTGTGAGCAGAGAAGATAAACGAGGAATAAGATTTGTGAGGTCTGCTACCTGCACCATTTGGTATACAATTTTTTTCCCTCTAATGTGTCGGTTTTGAGAGGGCCTTTGGGTATAAGACTCATTCATTAGAATACTCCTTTCCTCCAAATAATAATTTCTTAATATAATTATATACGGAGTAGTTAAATTTATTTACTTGGTTGACTTATTTTTGTTTGTGTATTTTATAAAATACTATAGTCATATTACCTCGAATTTTATAGATCTTTTAATATAAATTTTTTTAACTTCATACCATTTTTCATATAAAATAATTAGAAAATAACTTCAGTCAAATATCGTAATGCCCAACAAGAAGATAAGATTTGAACGGTGGCGGGTTGCTGTTGCGGTTGTTGACTATCGCTGTGCGTACGTACCATTACACACACACACACACACAGATATATATATATATATATATATATATATATATATATATATATATATATATATATATATATATATATATATATATATGTTCAAATAAGAAAAAGATCTAATGAAAGAAATAAAGAATAAATATCAACCGTTGGATCCACTTTATTTGCCACTTCCCATCTCAACCGTAGCAAGGGTAAAAAAGAACTTTACCACACTAGGCATTACCGTTCCACCTTCTTCTCCATGAATTAAGCACACGTCCCTGCGCACCTTCAGCCCCGGTTACGACACATTTTCAGTTACCGGAAGTCATTACTAAGGATGGATTCCTCTTTAATTCTTCAGCATGTACGCCTGCGCCCTCCTCCCTTCAGCATAATAGCCTCCGTGATAGGAATTACCGGCGTGCCCCGTTCAATTAACCTATGGAATTTCAGTCCGACAACGATTACGCGATGGAATTTCACTCAAGATCACAACCAGGTACCCTTTAAATTCAACCCTGTTTCATTGTAATTTTTGGTATCAGTTAATTATCATCTCTATTTTTTTTGGAAAAAATTTAGTATTTGTGTGATGGAAAATTTAGTAATTGTGTGAATTACGAAACTCTGGGATTAAGAACTCAGTACTAATCCCAACTATGAATGACGCATTTCACAAATAAATGCATGCACAGAACATAGTAATGCATTTTCCCAGAAAAAAGAAGCGATTCACACCAATTATTTAGCCATTCCTTTCCCAAGTCTCACTACTAAAGCTGTCAATACATTGCTTCATATTAAAACAGTTATGTGCCACTCACCGTTATATTGCTCCACTCGTGTGTAAGTCGCCTTCCACACATGAATGACCAGTTGAGGTCATGCTTCATGCACTAATATGCTGAAACCGTTTTTTATTAAACTAATTTAAAACTCTACATCTATGCTGAAATATTAATGCATTCCTAAAATGAAATATTTAGGTGTCATCCTCAAATTTTGCTAAATTTGCTTGGCTTGAATTGCAATATTCATCCTACACAATGCACTTTTATCCAATTTTATACCCAAATTCAATTCCCAAACTATGCTCCTACTACGTATGTTATTACAATATCATGCCTTCATGTTGCACCTGTATTAGTAAAATAGTGCTGAGTTATTCACTTTTATTCATACAGCTACCCCCACAAAGTATCAGGAAGTGCCAAATGAAGCCAGCAGCTCTTACGTCCAACGTCATTGGGTTCCGCAATGGCCTGATAACCACATTCCAAAGGTAGGCATGGTTTTTAAGGACTTGGATGATGCTATTCGATTTTATCGTGCTTATGCTGCTGAGGCAGGGTTTGATGTGCGCAAGACTACCACTACAAAGAAAAATGTTAGAATAAAGGCCCAACGCTAGAGGGGGGGTGAATAGCGTTTAAAACAAAATCGCAGGAAATTAAAAACGAGAGCGATAAAGTAAAGAGCGTAAGGAAGGAGCACACCGAATTTTATCCAGGTTCACCACAACGTGTGGCTAATCCAGCCTCCCGAGAGACTCTCTCGAGCTACACTAACTCCGTTAAGCTTAAGGGTGCTTAACAAACCGATACAACTTGAGAACCCGAGTCACACGAGCCTCAACGCCTTTGCTCGGAGATACCGCACTCCAAGACTTCTCACGAAGGAACAAAGAACTTCCTTCGAGTTTACAACAAGGGAACAACCTCCCTTAAAGTGTATAAAAACACTTAAACACTCAGGAATAAAACTCTCACAAAGAGTAGATATGAGTGAACTAGTAAATGCTCAAGAACACGACAATTTTTTCAAGAATTAGCTCTCAAATAGCTATGAAAAATAAGAATGTTTATGCAATGAAAGAGTATTGAAATGTTGAAGAATTGTATGTTAAATGAGAGGATTTGGGTGCCATTTTATAGCCCAAAAAGGGATAAATCCATTTTATCAGAGTTGCAGGGTGATAATCGATTGTCTAGACATGATAATCGATTATTAAAAGATTCCCTGTCCAAAAGTTTAAAAATCTATCCGTTGGAGGACAACGGTAACCCAGATAATCGATTGTCAACAAGTGATAATCGATTATTGGTCCTCTCAGAAGTTTCAAGGTTTTGGCTGCACAGGTTGATAATCGAGACTTGAATTGATTGTCGGTTTTGATCACAAAAGACCGACTCGACTAAGTCTTCAATTCTTGATCTTGTCCTTGAGTCTTTTGGGTCTTGTTCCATACCATTCTTCGCGCCTTGATTTATTCAACGAAACTCTTTATATCCACGGCAGTTTGGCAATTATCAAAACCTGTCAGAAATGAACACGACTTTAGTTAAACGTGCAAAGTGTGTTCCAACAATTTCCCCCTTTTTGATAATGGCAAACAAGACAGGGATATGCATAGGGTTTTGTTCTTTTTGAAAAAAAAGTTCCCCCTTAATAAAATTCCCCCTGAAAATATGCATAGCCCTTATCTTCCCCCTTTTGACATTAACAAAAAGATTTAATAACAAAAACCATAAAGATTTTTATTAATTATTTAAGGGAAATAGAGGAGTACATAATGAAAGCATATTAAAAGATGATAAAATAAGGAAGAGGAGAAAATAGAGCTAGAGCTCTTAGAAATCCGGGGAAAGATCATTGAGAAGTTGTTCTTCGTCAATGTCTTCTTCTTCATCATCTCCATCTTCATCACCATCGCCATCATCATCATCATCATCTTCTGCTTCTTCTTCCTCTTCTTCTGCTTCTTCTTCTTCTTCTTTGTTAACGTTCACCGCTTCTTCTCTTCCAACGTCGTTAGTCCCCTTTTGGTTCACCACCTAGGTTTGGCGAAGGAACATAAGGGACCATTTGAGCGTAGGGGTATTTGACAAAGTCAAAATACCCGTGAAGCTCACGGCTCAGAATATTGACGTTATGTGCCGTTTTGGAGACGTTGGTGTCTATCCGAGAAAGGGTGGTGGTCAAGGCCGCCATTTGCTCGGCGAGAGAAGGATTGGTCGAAGAGGTGGCAGTCGAGGCAGTGGCTCTCGGTTGGTGGCGAGGACGAGGCTGCGGGAACGTAGCTTCATCGGTTCCCGGGTGAAAGGAAGACTCGTCAATCACCCAATGCTTCGTCCCTTTGCATTTCGGTCCGACGTCCGTCTTGATGTGGTACTCATCAAGGATCGCCATGACGAGAAGAGCATAGGGGAGCGGCCGGTGGAAAACCGGGGAGGAAGAATCTCCCGATGCTCAAACTTCTCCGAGAACCTTGCAGCCTCTTCGCGGTCGTTGAACCAAAGGAACGACCCGTCGAGATACTTGTGCGCCGGTGGTGGAGGAGCCGAGGAAGAACCAACGTTCTTGCCGGTGCGGGAACGCTTTCTTTGACCGCCTGCCATATCAACAAAGAGAGAGAGGGAGAGCAAGACAAGAAGAATAGAAATTTGCAGGGATTTTGCAAGAACACTGAAGAATAATTGCAAGAAGGATGAAATATTGATGAATATATGAAGTAATTGTGATTTGTGTGAGTAAAGAATGAAAGGATATCACCAATTTATAAAGGAGAGGGCTGGAGAACCATTGTGGAGTTCAAAATATGCATTAATTTCTCTCCAAACGGCTAGAAAACAGTCAGATTTTTGAAAATTTGCCGTTGTAAATCGATTTACTTAACCTGTAAATCGATTATCAAACGCCTCAGATTCTCCGCTGAAGGACCTACAGTCTGCAATAGTCGATTGCCATGTTTTGGTAAATCAATTGTTGGAGTTTGCGCCTGAGTTGCCTTAAACTTCTGCAGGCTCAGATAATCGATTATCTTAATATTGATAATCGATTGTTTGCTCCTTCAGCTTCTGCGCTCTAAACTTCCGCGGGCTTTGATAGTCGATTATCACAAGCCTGTAAATCGATTTACACCAAGTTTGGTAAAAAAAAATCGATTTACTTTGTTCCCACTGACTTTGACACCTAAAAATAAAAACATTTGGTACCCGTTTTGTCTTTTGGGTCCTTGAGTATTAGTAACACGACTTTTTAAACTAATAAACACACGCACCCATAATTACATACACATGGTACGTAAACACACGCACACACACACACATGTACCAACATGCGTGTTTAAGTGTTACCTTGAACCGAATGTCTATACCTCGGTTTAATTTGTGTGGGTTCCGGGAGTGGTATGTGAATCTTCTTCTTTTCATCATAATAGAAGAAGTAATATGGTTTCTTTTGCATTGATTCCTGCAGGGATTGGTTAGAGCTCGAATATCCTTTTTCAAAGGATTTCATTAGGTTAGTTCCATGTAAAGTGTGTGTTTTGTTATACGTGCAATGCCTATGCCTACTAAAACACACGGGTGCTATATGACCTACCCTATTGCAATAATGACAAATAACATTTGGATTATGCATTCTCCTAGGTTGATAATAGTTGCTAGGTTTTCTAACTTGACCATTGTTCATCCTAGTGTTCTTTCTAGGTGGTCTAGTGTTCCTAATTGTTCTAGGTTGTCTATTTTCTTGATTTTTATTATTCCTAGGTTGAGCTTTAGGTTTCCTAGATGGTTGCTCAACCTTTTCCTTATTATTAGTTTCATTTTCAAAATCTAAGCCATGTTTAGTAAGTTGCAAATTGTCAAGAACATCATTAAGGTTTTTATGAGAAACACCAAACTTCTTCAAAGTTCCTTCAAGTTTTGCAACTTGTTCCTTAAGTGATATACAAGAACTGCATTGTGAACTTTCCGGTTTGTCGGCGCTTCTTTTTCCGAAAAACTTATTTTCTTCTTTAAGTTTTTCATTATCTTTTGATAGTTTATCAACTTCCTTCTCCAAGGAAGTAAGTTGTTTCTTCAAATCCTTGTTAATTTTAGAAGCGTTGACATATTCATCATAAAGTTCATTAAAGGCTTCTTGTACATCATCAAAAGTATAGGAGTCTTTAAAAGTGGTACATACCTCTTCTAGTGGTTCCTCGTGTGCCATGAGGCAAAGGTTGGCACTTTCATTTTCTTCGCCTTCCGATGACTCGTCGCCGGAATCACCTCCCCATGAGATGTAAGCTCGGTGCTTCTTGAACATTTTCTTCTTGTTCTTGGCGTTTGGACATTTTGGTTTTATATGCCCAACTTCTCCACAACCATAGCATTTGGGTGGACCTCCTTGCTTCTTTCCTTTCCGTTCATACTCTTGGCTCATGAACTTATGGAATTTCTCGAGCACGATCCCGAACTCGTCTTCGTCACTCGAGTCTTCCATAGCACGTTCTTGGTGTTGGAATACAGTTTGTATGTTTAACTAAAGTCGTGTTCATTTCTGACAGGTTTTGATAATTGCCAAACCGCCGTGGATATGAATAGTTTTGTTGAATAACTCAAGGCGTGAAGAATGGCATGGAACAAGACCAAAAAGACTCAAGGACAAGATCAAGAATTGAAGACTTAGTCGAGTCGGTCTTTTGTGATCAAAACCGACAATCAATTCAAGTCTCGGTTCTCAAAGAGTCAAAATTATTTTACAATATCATAAAATGTTTTTATGCATTTTAGATAAATTTTTTATTGTCAAAATCCTTGGTCCTTGCTCAGAACCAAAATCACCTAAGTCGGCGTACGGTGTTCGGCATTCGGTGCTCGGCGTTCGGTTTTTTGGCGCCCGAACCAACTCGGTGGTTTTCTATGTTTTAAACCTTGTTTTGATCTCTGAGCATATTTAAAATGTTCCCAAATAATTATTTCATAAAAACCACTTTTGTATCTTGGTCAATCGGTCTAACACGTGAAAAACGGTCAAAACCGTACGCACGTGATGTACGACCTTGGAGACTTGGTTTTTACCGAACAAGTCTTGTTTTCACTATTTTATACCATATACAATGTTTTTCAAACTTGGTTTTTTACTTTTGGGAACACTTCATTTTTGGACCTCGGTTTTTCAAAACGGGTTTCAGCTGGCTAGACTTTAGCTGGGTGATAATCGATTATCACCTTAGTGACAATCGACTATCAGCCCCTGCAGCTTTGGAACTCCAAAGTTCTGAAGCACGCAATAATCGATTATCACTTATGCAATAATTGATTATCAACTTGTGCAGCCAAAACCTTGAAACTTCTGAGAGGACCAATAATCGATTATCACTTGTTGACAATCGATTATCTGGGTTACCGTTGTCCTCCAACGGATAGA